AACAAATGTCGGTTATCGGCTAACTTATATGTTGAGAAAGATCGTTCTACATCTGCGGAAGTTAGCGGTCCATATTTAAAAAATAATAATTCATTTGCTTTTAAGTCTTCTGGTAAGTCATCCATTGAAGTAATTTCTCCATTCAATATTTTTGAAATTATATTTAATATTTTATAGCCATTATTTTTTGCCAAAACATCGTCTAGTTTTCGCTGCACTAATTTCCCCACTGAACCTGTAGTTTGCGAAATTTTAAATAGGCATTTTCTATTATTTAAATTTCATCGGATAAAGGCATATTTTTTGCTTTGAGGCGAGTGATTACAACGGGCAAAAATCCAAAGTTTGATTTTATGTATACCAGATTTGAATCAACGCCTGGATCACTTAAGTACTTTTGAGAGTTTTCAACACTAATAGAATCTTTTCATCAAACGATGTAATAATATCTCATATTAGTTCGTAATTATCGCAATAATAAATAGTTGCTTTCAATCAGGTTCCCCATCTTATTATGATTGGTTGTGGGGGGAGTTATAGGTGTGGTGCTTTTTCTTTAAAACAATTAATGCGATATGGAGACTTGAAAAATACTTTCTTCACGTTTGCTATAATTTTATCAACTTTTGAGTAATGCCTTCTAATTTGTTCAGCAACTCGATGAAATGCGTGAACAATACATGTAACGTGAATCATTTTTATATAAAATGTATTAAGCGATTTTCCCGCTTTAGCCATGTATGGTGCCGCTTCGCTTAGAAATAATAAAATATCATCATGTCGTACACCTTCAGGCCATAATATATGCATAGAATTATCAAATAATTTAGCGATTGTAATGTGATTTGATTTCTCTAGTTCTGCACAGTTTAATAAAAACAGGTGTCCAGGGCCATTAAATTCTAGCGGTCCTACAATGACATGTGCGATGTAGTGACCTGCGGAATCTGTCGTCTCATTGATCGAAACCCAGATTTTTTTACCGAATATAAAACAAATGGATGTAGGTACATACGTTTATATATTTAATATTTAGATTAGGTACATATTTTGGAAGGGGTGATATAACTTCTTCACCTATTAATGGGACGGCATATTGTTGGTGCTTATAGCTATAAAAAAGATAAATCCGCCTCTGCTTAAACGAATATTAATGCAAATAGTTATATGTAGGTATTAAACTTTATTAAGTGATAAATAAAATATTTAATCAAAATATTTTAAGTTTTATAATAAATAAATAGGTAATATGTATGTACATATAATTAGACATAATATTGTTAATTTATTTTTATTTTATATTATTTCTCAGATTTTGTTGCTCTATTTGTTTATTTATCTGTTAAGTATTATACAGTGGCAGTTTTGGGTGTGAGGCAAGTTAGGCGCCGCCTAACCTACAATTTTAAGTAAAAATATTTAAAAAGTATAATTTTTGGCCCACCGATAGCATATACTTCGATATTAATTTTAATGTTTTTATGATTTTATTTGAGAAAAAATTCTTTTTTGACAAGTTTGGCAAAAAAAAAAAAAATTTATAAAATGAAGCCAGTGATAAAGATCATTTATTGTTTATTACCAAAAATAGCGATAAACAGATAAGAAACGAATGAAATAATTATTACATAGACAAACGCTGGTGTTTCAACCGACGGCAATGTTCCGATGACGTTAGAAGGCACCGTCGGAGTTTCGCCTCGCGGAGTATGTATAATTGTGTACATGAATTACATACACAAGCATATGTACACGAATGCACGTGACTATTAAATAAGTAGATTTGCGCATGCGCAAAGATCATCTCTAGGCTCGACTAACTTTGCCTTATGAACTAAAAATAGATGCGGTATACAGGAATTATGGTCAGCCGACATTTCAACGTAAAAACACATTATTAGTAAAGTTGTTATTGTTACAGTCGGGACTTGGGACAATCCTAATTAAACCGTTGTTCGTTGTAATATCTATTGATAATAATTTTATATTTATCATTAGTCTTTTATGTCCTGACGTCTTCGTTAAAATTTATGTATGAGTGCTACAGTTCTTTTTATTAAAAATATTAAATTAATTACTGTTGGAGTTATGTATCCAGTGACAGACGTGGTAGTCATGTTGTTAGTCTGCGTGGAATACTGTTGGATATTATGATTTTAAAAAATTATCTAGGGATATACAAATACATCATTCATCAAAAGAATATATTCATAATCATTTAAGATCAAAAAACCTAGAAAAAATTGTTTTACTATACTAGATATTGTTCATGAACATGGTAATTTGTTTAAAAAAAAATATGATGAAAATGTAAGATTGAATCGTTTATGGAGCACTTAATCGATTTGGTTTTATTTTTGGGAAAACAAGAGTTGGCATTTAGGCTGGGCGCACACTTATAGAGCAAAACTACTCTGAGCAGCTTGGATCAGCTCGGAGCTGTTTGGATATCATAAGAACACGTATAAAGTAATTAACGCGTACACACCAATCAGTCAACATCAACACACGACAAGACAAAACAAAACATGTTCGATCTTGATCCGTCTGATTCTATTTTTGCTCTGAGCAAAATACGAAAACCAAAGTCACTTGTTTATTTTACGACTAGTCAGTGGTGAAGTAAGGGTATGGTGAACTGTGCCTACACCATTTCCGCGAATCTCAAAGGGGCGCAAAATTGTGCAAAAGTCGTATTTTTATCCTACAATCAAATCGAAATTTGTTCGTTATACTTTTTGAAATACGTAGATGTTGTCTATTTGTACACACTATGTGCAGGGACGACATTTTTGCGGTTTTTATTTACTACTTTCATTATTTAATAAAAATTGCCACATAAGCAACACAACGATGTTGTCTTTGTCAGAGCTCATCTTGACGTCTGATGTTTAATAACAAAAATTAATCCAGAATTATTGTGTCTTGTTCTGATCTGTTTTATCAGTATGAATGGAATTTATTCCGAGCTGTTTAGAACAAAATATTCCGCGCAGCTCGGAACAGTTTTTCTCTTTAGGTGTGCGCCCAGCCTTAGAGATCATGATGAAAGCAGTGATTCATTAAATAAAAAGAATTTTAGAGAGTTGTTTGATATATAGTTAGCTGATATAACTAAATTTAAAGAATATTCTTGTAGATTTTCTGTAAATGCTTTAAATAATTTGAAATCAACTTATTCTAATTTATTTTAAAATATTAATACTTTAAAAGTTGAATTGAAGGTTTTGTATAGTGATATAAAGTATCAAAATTTATTACACATTTATGACATGGTTAAGATTATTGAACAAGACGAATTGAAAGACATTTTACCTGAAGCTTATAAATTATTTATTCTTATTTTAACCATATCATAAATTATTGTATCAAATAAAAGAAGTTTCTCATGTCTCAAAAGAATTAAAACCTGTTCTCGAAATAGTATTTCACAAGTTCGTTTAAGTTCTCTTTCAATACTATCAATTGAAAAGTCCTTGATTCATCAACTTAAAAAAACTGAATCATTTTACGATGATATTATACATATGTATGCTAGTCAAAAAGATAGGAGTATAAATTTAATAAACAAAACATAATAGTTTAATTTAGTTAATAAATAGTTTTATAACTAGACATACCTACTTAAAAAGTCCTTTTCAGGACTACCAAATTTTAAAATGCTCTGTTTATTACCTATCTATTACTTATTACATTATTATCTATATGAAATAAGTATATTATTAGCATTCATACAATTATATTTATTTTTATGTTTTTAAATTATATTTATTGTGAAGCCTAATTTTGTATGGGGGGGGGAGGATACATAGGTTTCCTCACTAAAAAATACTACCAAAAGAATTTATAATATTCTTAAAAGAGCACACTATACAAAAAAAATTCATTACATTTTTTTTTTAAATGTTAAATTATTGTTGCTACGCCTATAAGAAATGATTTAGTGAAAATCCAATTTAAAAAAAATTATCATTCTAAGAGACATTAAGAAATGTATAATAGCCATGTGGCGTCACTGGGCCCTACTCATCGTAATTGTAATCTTATACGCATATCAGTTCCTCGCATCACACAACGCTACCTAAATATTTTATTTTTGAAATTTAATTTACGTAGAACTGTATGTGGTTGTATGTGTTTAAGACGATGTAAGTATCAGAATTTCAATATGACGTTAGGTTTTTCAAATATTAGAAATCTTAAAAGAGTAATTTTTGTTATACGGTGCGTTGTGGCGAACGGAGATCGAACGATTCCGCCAACCGCCATATCTAACTATCTAATCAAATTCTACGGATTTCATACACTACACTCAAATTTATTATTTATATATAACTATATAATTAAATATTATTACATTATATTTTTAAAATTTGGTTGAACGTATGTACTATGTCGTGTTTAGTGTGTAAATATGTAGAACTAGATTGGATAATGGTGATCGGCGGACCTGTAGTTCGATCGCAGCTCGATATGACGCGCCATTTAACAAAAATGTTTCTTTGAAGATTTTTAAGATTTGAAAAACTAAACGTCATATTGAAATTTTGATACTTGCATCGTCTTAAACACATACAACCACACACAGTTATACGCAAATTAAATTTCAAAAATAAAATGTTTTTAGTTTATAAATCATTATATGAATGGAAGAACTTTTACACGTATAAGATAGGCAATTATGATGAGTAGGGCCCAATGACATCACGCGTCTTTTTTCAATTGCTCATTACTTATTGAATAATGTGAGAAGAAACGTAAATCATATACCATTATTCTTAAAAAAAAAAAACATATTTTTAATAAATTTAATCATAAACAGAAAACGAAATAATGTAACCTTAACGTCATATAATTAACATCTAAGCATTACAAATTATTGTTTTAAATTTATATTACAACATCAACAATATATAATCCAATTGTGTTAAACTTATATTTTAAATAAAACAATGTTAATAATAGATCTTTATAATAATAAAAATAATGCAAATAATAAATATTCAGTTGGTTATAAATTTACTCTGTTTGCGGGACATAAAAATAACAGGTGCATACTGATTTTATGATTGTTTAGAAATAAGTTCTTGTTCACGAACTAACATAGATTCTTTTAGATGTTCTCTTTGTAATGCTTCTCTTTGTTTGGCAACACGCAGTACATTTGCTCTTCTCTAAAACACAAAATGTTTACATAAGTATTTTACATATTGTAATAAAATAATAGATAAATAATCATTTTAAAAATTAATAATAATTATTATAATTATGATAATTATTAAACTAATTTTCACAACACATTTAAGGTTTTAGTCAAAAAAATAATTCATAATAACATATCCTATAAAAAATGTATTGTATGTAATAAATGTTTAATATAATCAATTAAAATATAATAATAGAGTTAAAATGAGAAAAAAGATAATAAAATAAAAATATCACAGTGATAACTTATTAAATTGATATAAAAAATGATTATTGATATTGAAAATTATAGTTTTTTGTATACAATTAATAATAATATATCCATTATATTTTAATTAAAATGTACTACTCATTATCAATAAATCATTAGATAAACAATAGAGTAAAATAAATTGAATAACTATGTTAATACTTTTTTATTAGAAACAAAAATTCATTATTTAAAATAATTTTGTATTTGAAACACTATAATATAATTAAAATTATTATTAAATACATTTTAACAAAAATAAAATATGATTTGTAATTGTATTACATTTTAAATTATATGTGAAACAAATTTAAAACTATTTTTTATATTTTTACACTGTTCAGAATAAAATAGTTGCCAAAAATAATATATATTCACAATCAATATATTATAGTATAAATTTTCTTTTTTATATTTTAATACATAATAAAGATTTGAAATTCTGACAAAATTTTTGTTGAAATTCATATATACAGATATATAAAAATAATTTTTAAAAACATGATTAGTTTATATAATAAAATTAATCTAACATTTTTTAAATATCTTATGGATTGAGTTAATTGTTTCGATTCATCATTATATATTATGTTCCTACATACATATAAACAAAATTAAAAATTTTGATTTATTTTTCTCATTCTATGATAATAAAATATTAAAAAAATCACTTCAGTTGTATATTGTGTTTTTTGTGTCATTGTATTATTACTGCATATTTATTCTGTATTTTGTGCCCATTATTTCATAAATAAAATAAATAATTTTTCTAATTATCATCTAAAATCTAATAAATATTTCATCATTGGTAATATTTTTCAACCTTTTTAAACTCAACATCAATTTCACTCAAGAAATTAAATATACGATTATAATACTTAAACATAAGTCTAATACTATATGTCATAAATAATTTATGTAAAATATAGTTATTTTAAAATTATAAAGGTATATTACTTGCAATATATATAATTTAGGCAAAGCATTAAAAAAATAACTTTGAAAAAATTATAAAAACCTGAAAGCCTTAATAGTGAATTTTTAGATTTTTGGCATCTTTTTTTTGTAAGTAAAAAAAATTATTGTTATAAGTTTTATGTTTTTAAAGTTATAATACATAGTAGTTATATATTTATACAAAAATGTAATGAAATTCCCTATTGACGTTAAACTAAGTACTGAAAATAATTTTATAATGTTATCAATAAGGCATAAAATTAAAAATATAAATACCATCGTAAAATAAAATCATCAATATTTGTATAAAATATTACCATTTTATATTACTATGGAAAATATTGATTAAATATCTGCAACATGTTAGTAGATGCTATTGAAGTACATATTAAAAACATTTATAATTAGTTTTTTTATCATAAGTGGTATACTTTCATATAGATTGCAGAAATTGGTTTATTCATTTTCTTATTAAAACAATAATATATTACTCAACTTTGATAAGATAAGGCATTAAATATATAATCTCTAGGGAATGTGTATTTCTCATACTTTGCCTACACATTTCAATAATTTTAATTATTTTATATAATGCCTAAATTATTGCTGGAACATATACATACAATTTTAGTTAAAACAATACAATTTCTTCAGTATTTTTTAATTTGAATGATATTTTTAATTAATATATAATTTTTATAAATAATGTTTCATTTAACTAAATGTATTAAAAATAACATTTATTGCTATTTTTTCGAACAAAAAAATGTACAGATACATTAGATACAAAAGTATCTTATATATTATTTATTTAATAGTATGTAAATAGATCTTTTTAAACTATTTATATTTTATAAAAATATAAAAATATTTTAAATATATATATACTTAAATGTATGCACTATATAATTATGAAATAATTTAAGGAGAATAATAACATTAATTCTTACTTCTAATGATATAGTTTTCTTGTGTAAGAACATAAGCTTCTTTTTTAATTCAATCAACTGCCCATGGCAATGTTTTATAGATGTGAACTGAAAATTAATAAACTATAGTAGAATTTACTTAACTTATTATACTATTTTACCATGTCTTGAACTTCAGATTCATTCAACAAGTTAGACAATTCTTCATTTTCTTTAAGCATAGAACTTATTAAAGAATTTTGTTTATCACTAGAACAATAAAAAGTTAGTATAAAAACCAAGTAACAGTTTTTTAATAATGATAAACATTTATAAAATTAGATAAATTGAAATAAATTCTAAAATACAATATACTATTGACTATTTAATAACAATAAATTTGTTTTTAAATAGTTTATAAAATTAAAAAGTTGGTTCTGATTAATGTACCATTGATTTTTAGTTCTTAGTTATAATAGTAAACAATTTAAATTTTATTCATTAAAAATATGTATATTAAATACACTGTACTTCGATAGAATGTATACAATATTTTATAAATGGATAAATATGTAATATCTTATTATAAATATGATGATTACAAATTTAAAATGTTTAGGAAAATATAATAATAGTATAAATGTTTTAATATAATATTTCTAAATTTGTTCTAAGTACAGTCAAATTTCGATAACTTAAATTATTTTTCTGTCCCTATGAAATTCCTATATACTAAATGAAATATTTATCACAATAAGTCAAATTTAAAAATAGCATAAATAACTTAGTCAGTTATAATAAATTTATCTTAAATTTTATCATTAGAATAACCGTTTTAAATCATAAATGTTTAAATGAAACTATCACTATTGTTACCATATATATTTGTAGTGTAGCATGTATGAGTACAATTTATAGTTATGCTTCTTAAACGTAACTCAATTACATTAATAACTGCTAAAAATATTTTAAAAAATTTGTTTTACAAATATTTGTGAAAGGAAAAAGAAATGTACTCATGTAGAAGGTGAAGGATGTTCTGATTGGAAAGTTATCACAATAAATTATAACCAAAAATTACATTTCATACATTTACTGAAATAGATGCTAATGTACATACCAAAGTATTACTATTATACTAGAGTATCAAGTGATTAAAACTATAAATGCATTGCAACCAATTTCTAAATCTGAGTTAGACGTAGATGAAGATTAATATCTAGTAATTTTCTTACTAATCAAACTCCTATTTCAAATTATTTTCTAAATTGTAAGAATTATACAAATATTGAGTATTAAAATATAATATTTTAATAAATTTGTAATTAATAAATGTATAAAAATTGAGTTTCAAAATATAATCTTCTAATTGTAATTTTAGTTAATCAATTAGCGTATAATAATAGCTAACTTGAATCTGTATTTTTAAAAAATTTGAGTTATGTAATTCGAAAAATACATTAATCATATTAATTTTTATCTTCCTTTGAATTTAGTTTATTGAGATTATCATTAAATATCTAACTATAAATTATTTTTTACTGATAATAATTAATATAAAACAATAGTATTCTTTCATCATGCCTACACAATAAGCTAAAAAATTTTTGTCGAGTTACTAATATCTAAGTATGTATATGAATAATTGAATGTTACAATAGTCTATTCAGAATAAAAGTGCCCAGTCATTTGGACGAAAACTGGCTTTTACTGTGCATGTGTCTTTCCCACCAGGAACGTAGTAGTATGCTGACGCATTACAACGCTGTTATACGTAATGAACAGTATTACCACACTCTTTTCATAATACCATGCTATAGTTCTATTTTAAACAAGGTTTTTTTTTTTAATAATAATCTGTATACAAGGAGGCAGTCACCGACTTTGATAAACTACGACGGCGGTCGAACAATGGCAACGAATCATAGAGTGTCTAGATATCAACGGGTGTCCGACCGTTATCGGCTTCTCGGTAGACATGCGCGAGTTTGGGCACTCTTAATCTGAAGACTATATATACCTTCATAAATACATTGAGAAAATGGATTGTATTACATAATTTATACAACAATTTTATATCTACTTACACGACTTCCTTGATTTCTAACTGTTCAGCTTTCAAATCAGGATTGAATTGATTTACATAAGAATTGATTATTAACAATCCAGGTTTGATGTCTAGACTATTTACAAGAAAATGTTATTAGTACAAACGGTAAAGTAATATTTTAAACATCAAAATACTGTGAACGATAATTACTTCGATTGTGTTCTATTGTTACATTCAATGTTTTTTACACTGTTCAGTTCATCCATGTTACTAAATATGCAAAATATTTAAAGAAATAGTTCATCATAGGAATACACAATTTTAAGAGAAATAATTTTAATGCTTATCTTTATATCGATTGATAAAAACCATTTAGTATTATTATTACTTATCAGATGTCTTTGAATTTTGATAACATCACGTATCATAATAAAAATATAATATTTACCTGAGTATATTTACTTTAGTTATAAAAATTTAATATCACATTGCTAAGAATTTTATTTGTGTTTTAATATTTCAATTTTCTTGATAAAAAAAAAACCTAATGTTCTTAAACCGATAAATTAATTGTGTTTATATTATCGAAATATTAAAAACGTTTTGACACTGATAAAGTTTTCCCTAAAGGATGTCAAATTTCGGTAACTTATATGAATGTGATGTAAGAAAAATTGTTCAGCATATTATGGACGATGCCCTCTTAAATTATAGTGTTAGAATAAAATTATAGATTATAGCAGGGATTCCCAACCGCTGTGCCGCGAAATTATTCAGGTGTGCCGTATAATTTTTGTAATTTTATAATTTTTTAAGCATAACTAAATATGATAATCAAAATTATAATTTATATTTATGATAGCATTGACTTCAAAATTCTCTTGAAAATAAAAAATGATAAAATGTCCTGATAAAACAGCTATAATATTATATGGGATCCTATACTACCCGATACGGGTATTACAAGCAGTTGCGTTGATTTTTACCACATACTAAAATTACTACATGAAAACATAGCCGGTGCTCATTATAATGAAAATTGAGCACGTGCAATTGTTACGCATTATACTGTATAGGTATTTTGATCAAGAAATATTGTAAGTTAAATTTAAAAATGGATAGATTTTTAAAAAAGCATAAATTAACAGATGACAGTGATGTTAGTGCAAATGACAACAATTTAAATATTTAAATTAATATTTAACAATCAGCTTTAATAAGTGATAAAAGTTTAAATTTAAAAATTAAACGTAAATATATTGATAATTATTTATGTTTTGAATTTACGTGGAATGGTGACATTGATTATCCTTTAACAGTTTGTATTGTTTCAACTGTTTCACCTGTAATAGAGGAATTATGTAAAAAACACCAGTCTCGAATGTCAAATTAAATTTGTTATATATATTATATTAATATAATTATTTTATAGAACATTATATATAATTATGATATTATGTATATTCATTATTATTTATTTAAGTGTGCTGTGGAAATTTTTAAAATGACCAAGTGTGCCGTTAAGTAAAAAAGGTTGGGAATCCCTGGACTATAGAGATGGCATTATTTAATACTGTACATTAATATTGTATGTACGATAAATTTCGAAACTATTAAACCCCAATTACTTATTACTAGGTGGCATTTTACACAAATTTTCAAATAATATAGACATCTATGATTTTTATAAAATATCTGTATCTAAAATTTATTTTTTGTGGATGAACACAAAGATAATTGATAATTTATCTTTTTATTTGGTTATTTTTAATTATTTTAATTTTTTAATGTTATGTTTATGTTTGTGAACTCAAGAAAGATAATAATGTAATTCATTTTCATAATAAAGTATAATTATTAAACATAGTTACATCATTTTAATATATAGATAATTTAATATTCCATTGTGTGTGATTTCACTGAAAAATAACTTAAGTAACATTGATAAAAATATGAATTTGACCAACAAAATATTTGTTACTATTCAGCTTATAAACAGATTTGTCCAACTAACAAAATTAAATTATCAATTCATAATAATTTTTAAAAATGACAAAACACATTTTCACTTTGATTAAACTTACATTATTAATTTGATAATATTATATGGTCTTGGATAACATTATTTTAACAAACTATCTAATCAATACAATAAAATATTTCACTAATAGGTACAATCAAATTTTTGATAAACAAATCATAAGAAGTTTGTTGTCAATTCTAATAATCATTTCAATAAAATGTTTTGATCTTATCAACTGAAATAATTATTGTTGTAATAATATGTATGTAATTAAATAATAATATGCAAATTGTAAATATGTTTTACTATACTCGTAGATAGATATTAAAATAAATTAATACATTTAATAAATTTTCTTATTTTTTGTTATACATAAAAATGTATATTGTAACAATGTAGGTAGGTATAATAATAGGTATAAAAATATATAATAAGTTATTATTGTTATTATTAATAATGTAATGAAGTATACATATATATACACATTAATTAGAAGAGACAATAGTTTTTAATTATTTTAGCTTAGTAGGTATTAGGAAGATTCATATACATATAATAATAAATAAATTAAATAAATAATAGATTTAATATTCATTTATAGCTTCATTTATGATACAATTAAATTATATTATTAAGCTCTCTACTAAATTACACAAATTATATTTTTACAAGAATAATACATATTATTATTATGTTTTATCAATATTTCATGAGTTAATAACTTAAAAATGATTATTATCATTTTCTGATTAATTAAACATACCTATTAATTAAAACAACTTTATTTATTTTTAATAAATAAGGAAACTTATATAATTTAAATCATGCATTTAGACATTTAGTATTTTTTATACAACATAAAATGTATAGTATAAATGGTACTTGGACAATTGACACCGGCGATTTTGTTGATATTGGACTTTTCGCATCCGATATTTTTAGAACACGGACAATTAACACCGAGCGATTACAATTACGATAACCACAAATAGGTATTACCATTGATTAAATATACATAGATAGTCCAAGCGATAAGAAAAATCATTAACGTTTTATAAAGTGAAATGGGAGCCAGAATTGTAGTAATGTAAGAGCCATGTCAATAGGTTGCGCTGTTAGTAATTTGTTATGTTATGAAAATGTTTTGTCTTACCAAGACCCATTAGCTATCACCTATTTTGTTATTAATGTTATCATTATCAATGCAGAATAGAATATTTAAATTTGCAACAACGATTTTGGACGATATTTAATTAATTTTTTTGACTTAACTACTTGACATATAAGTTATAAACCATAATAGACAACTACAATAAATAAATAACAATACAATATAAATATAATCATTATTATGGTATTATTTAAGTATATAAGTTTATAATTATTATAACCATAGTGTTACGTGCCAACCGTTTGATCCGTAATTTCAGTACTAATATCTTAGTCAACGCTTGGATGTAGGTGTAGTGAAGAATAATTAAGACACTTTATAATAATTTCATTTATTAAACTGATAAAATTATTCTAAGAGCAACAATTTGTAAATATTCCAAGTCCAAATAATTTAGACTAGAAATTATTCTAAGTCCTAACAATTATAACTTATAAAAATAGTTTGAAATATTTCGAGGTCCAGACCATGACATACACTGACGTGAAGGTGCTCAGTGCAGCATAGCCAAAACTCGTATGATTTGCCCTTGTTTTCGGGTCCCTTTTATATCTGATATATGCAAGTGTGTGTGTAAATCTTAAATGTGTGTGTGTGTCTATGAAAACTGATAATAAAATAATATAATTTCCTGTGAATTATCTCTCAACCGGCTCATATTCAGTGACGTACAGATACAGGATATGGTTACTGTCGCTCTTATTACTTATTTTAATTTAATAATAAAATTTAATAATCTAACTTGTCCACGGTTGTGGTTTTGATTAACTAAATAATTATGTGCAGTTTTGATTAGCTAAGTAATTGTAAATAGAATATGTGTAACCATCCATAGATGTGTTCACAGGAACTCCCTTATTATGTAAGTGTTCATGTGTGACTACGCAGGACGCGACAATAGATTAAATACTATAGATAGCCCACGGGTATAGGTGATATGGAAACGTAAATTAATATCACAACGTCTCAATAGATAACACACTCACTTGTAATATCGAAAAATAATTTACAATAATAATCAAATGATCAGGGAAGATGTACGGATATCGATTAGATATCATATTTAACGGCGGAATATGATCGGCCGATTTATACTAAAAATAAATTACGATACGGAGTAAATGAATAATGAAATATTAATAATCGTCAACACTCATTAATTATATTGTGTTAACGCTGTGGACAAAAATCTATTTTAATATCTATTGTAAAAAAAAATATAACGTAAATATCATTTAACACAAACACAATTATTTGACATAATTAAATTATTATTACATTGCATTATTATCATTATTGCAACATTAACAACTCAGCTCTTCTGCAGTCTGCACGAGCCGCAATGACACGATTAATTCACCATTTTTTTTTTTTTTTTTTAATATTATCATGGCTACAAAAGGCAATAAATGTATGTTACATAACTGTGGTAAAAGTAAACGAAATGATAAAAATATCAATTTATTCCGTTTTCCAAAAATAAAGAGCAGGCAAAAGAATGAGTTAAGCAATCAGGTTAGTTGAATAAAATCGTATTTAAACATTTAATAATTATTCTTTTTAAAAATTTAAAAATTAATACATTAAATTGTATGAATTTTTATTTTATACGTCATTTTAGATTTTGAACGGAGTGATGAATGTATTGTTTTTACAATGATGTGTGTCTAATTTTTTTCTTTTTTCCTTTTTATCTTTGTGTCTGAGGATAAGATTTGGAGCAGTAATAGTGCTCATTTTTTTTATAAGCGTCGAAATTTCAAATTTTTACGAAATTTGTTAAAATACCAAAAATTTGAACTAATTTTGTAGTTGAAACTTCATAAAATTTTAAGTATTTATATCTAAAGTTTATAAATGTTGTACAAGGTTTTCCGTAAGCTTTTCTTCAAATATTTATAAAAAAAACTTGACAGTAATAAAACCAAACATTTGTATAAGTCTTTAAAATTTACATTTTTACGAAATCACATAAAACAAACAACGATTTAGCCTCAAACGATTTTTGATATTGGTTTTTATTCAAAAATTATAAGTTCGTAGAAAGTTTGTAGTGAAACTTTCACAAGTTTTTTAAAGTGCACATGATTTTTTTCAAAATTTTTCGTTAATTTTTTAGCTATTTGTAGGCATTTGAAATATTCGACTTTTTTTGGTTTTTTTTTATAAATGTCGATAAAAAAATTTTAGCTGAGTCAAAATACTTGAAAATTTAGTAGATGGTTTTATAGTAGTTAATCTATAAGCGATTCGAAATTTATCAAATTACATAGGCACAATTTAAATATTGAGAAAATTCGTTAAAATCACAAATATTTGCAAATTATTTTGTAGTACAAAAAGTATACATTTTTTTGTATTCATAGATTAGAATTAAAAATTTAATATAAGATCGTCCTTAAGTTTTATTTGCGATAATTATAAATAAAATGAGTGTAAGTCAATTAAAAAATATTGATGGGCGTCTAAGTCTAGTAAAAATTTAAAAATTCCAGCGTAGAATAACGATTAACTATTAAATGTTTTTAGATATAAAATAAATAAATAAAATATCACAGACAAACATCCTAGTACACCAATATGCCAAATTGCAATTTTTCTTACTTTAATTGCTCCCCAAAATATTAACTTCAATACTATTTTATCTGTAGGGAATATTAAATTGGCGGATTTAACGTTGGAACAACTTAATAATCGCTATGTATGTAATTTACATTTTAAACCTACGGATTTTAATAATATTGAAATACAACAAAGATTAAAACAAAATGTTATTCCAATAAAATATGATTTTGCTGAATTATCAACTGATGTGGAGCAATACATTCCAACTTCATCATTAAACGAATTTGAATACCCCAAGTCACTAAATTTACACGTTATAATACCAACCACAGTGTACAAAAAAAAATTCCAGAACACCTATTGAATCTCCTCATCTTCCGGCTACATTATATACATCACCGTCTTCGCCAATTTTGACTTATGAATGTTCTCCATCAACAAGTTTAATGGTTAAATCATTTATAGATATGCCTTCGCCTATTAGTACTCGAGAACGTCGTTTATTCAATTACATATTCAAGATTATATTTTAATAATTGATATAGGTACACATTTGAAATGAACAACTGCTAGTCGCTAATGACAATAGTATGTCATTTACATAAAAAACTTTAATTTATTAAATTTTAAAAAACACAACTGTTAAAAAATAACTTATAATTATTATTTTTGCTGAATTAATATAATAATAAGTACCTATATTAAGACGTAATACACAGTAAAATTAAATAGTAGTAAGTACCTAATAATAGATGCGTTTTTATGTTGTTAATTTTTTCATTTTGCCACGGTACAGACCCTGCTGGAGAATAAAAAAAATCTTTATATAATTCTCGTGTTGCAAACGCTGCCCGTCCAGCTCCACCGCCTTGCATAGGTATATTATTTAGAGTAATATTTGAAACGGGTTCATTTATATTTTGAAAAACTTCATTGGTACAATTGCTGTATTTTTTTATATAGTTATGAAGAACGCAAGTTGCTAAAATAATATAGTCCACATTTTCTGGTTTAGACTGTATCCTTCTGTTAAAAATACGAAATTTTTGTACTAGAATTCCAAAACAATTTTCGACTACTCTCCGCGTTCTACAAACACGATAGTTATAAATTCGTTTGGACAAGTCGTCAAGTTGCTTCCCAGGATACGGTCTCATTAAGTACGTTTTCAGTGGAAACGCTTCGTCGCCTAGTATAACGTACGGTGCAGAAATATTGGTATTTGGTAGAATTTCATCATTAGGAATATTTAATGAACCATTTTCTAATGATTTTCCTAAATTAGAATGTGCCAATATACCACCATCGCTGTTTTTACCGTAAGCACCCACATCTACTGCTATAAAATTGTAATTTGCATCCACTAATGCTAGCAAAACAACTGAAAACGTTTTTTTGTAGTTAAAAAAATTAGATCCAGAATTTGCTGGAGCTTGGATAGTGACATGATTGCCGTCTAGCGCTCCTAAACAGTTAGGAAAATTCCAAACGTTCCAAAAATCATTGGAGATTTGTTTCCATCGTTCTTCAGTTGGTTGAGGCATAACTTCAGTCATCAATTTTTTTACTATACTTTGACAAGTGTCAATTACTATTTTATAAACTGTTGCGTGACCTAGGCGGTAACTGAAGGAAATTGTCTTAAACGAATCTCCTGTCGCTAAAAACCTAAATAAAAAAACAAACATTTTTTATAATTATAAATATATTATACTTATATTAGATTCTGAGGAAGCGATGAATGTATTCAATTTACAATAATGTTTTTTTTATTTTAATTTTTTAATTTTTGTATGTCATCGTCCGTTTGGGGCAGTAAAACTACTTCGATTTTCTTCAACCTAAAACTTTAATACAAGGCTTCTGATATGTTTTTACAATAACAGTCAAAAAAATTTTAAAAATAAATAGGTACAATTTTTTTTTCGATTTTTGACAACATTTATCAAATTAAAATCTAATGAAAAAAAATTAATTTTAAACAGTGGATTATAAAATAAATATATTTTTTTAAATTTTTATATAAATTGATATTTAATCTCTTTTTTTAGGAAAAATATGCAAAACTCGCTGGAATAGCATTAGGGATAACTATCGAAAATCTATTAAAAAAACAACAAATGGTCAAGCATTTAAAAAAATTAAAAAATATAAATATGATGATCAGCTTCAGTTTTTAAAGCCTCATTTACAAGAGAGGGATACTTTAGGAAATTTAAAATATGTGAATAACGATGATTTAGAGAATTCTAGTAATGACAGTGAGGACGATGTGGAAAATGTTAGCACAGTTCAAAATATTGAAATTAATATTAGTGGCAATACAGATGGTGAAGATCAATTACCAAAAACTCCAGAATATCAATCTGCAGTTCGCAAATGTACAAAAAAACGTACAACCAAAACTCCGGAATCGGCTTCGAGTACTTTAATGAAGTATATAATGCAAAAAAGAGAAAATGATATAGCTAATACTATACAAACCCATTCTGTTGATGCTTTTTTAGCAGGCCTTTCACCCACACTCAAATCATTTACGCCATACTATTTAAACATAGTGAAATCAAAAATTTTTTATATAGTTCAAGAATATGAAATGCAAATGATTGTAGACCAAGAAAAGAAAAAAACAACTTTTATGACACCATATCCCACACAATTGCTACGCCCCGTTTAGTGCGACGTCACTCCCTTTCGCGACAACATACGTCCTTCGTCGCACGCTCATTAAATCTATTCACAATTTTATCTAATTAGCAGACAAATATCTAATAAAAATTAAAAAAAAAAATATTAGTATGCACATAATTAAACCAAATATAAAAAATTATATTGAATTACAATGGATGTTTATAGGTATACCCATATTAAAACAGAAACAATGAATATTTGTATCAATATGTACTAGCATTGATTATAAATACTAGGTAACAATGTCCAATGAAAACTGATTAAAATAATAATAAATTAACAAATTATAGACTGCAATAATTCTAAGTTTTTTAACCCTTTCAGACCTGAGTTTTTTTTATTAAAAAAAAAAAATTTTTTTTCATCAATTGTATAAATAGGTTAAAAAAATAATGTTCACCAATTTTTAGGTGGTTTTAATTTTTTTTACCAAGAAAACAAGTAGGGTCACATTAGTGACCCATCGGCTTGTACGGAATAAAATATCGTATACAAATGTTGCAGGTACATTATTTTTATTTTATTATATTTATTGAAAAATCGATTATTCTTTTTCGATAACTGCCACTTAACATTCTTAATTCTAATAAAATAAATAAAAACTATTTAAATAATTAACAGTAAAAAACCAATTTTTAAAACCTTAATATAAAAATAATAAAATAAACGTAAAACTTTTATAATTTAAATAAAATCCTCTTCTTGAATAATTTTAATGTATATATTCGTCTTTACTTCATAATATGAAAATCAGCAAAACAATTTCTTCCTGAAGCCAAACACAAATGTACTTTACATTTTTCGCAAAAAATGTGTGTTCGATGTTTTCGTGAACATTTTGCATGCTTGCATTTAGTAGGATTTTTCAATTTATCAACACCAGGCAAATGATCTATTGTGTCGTATCTAACTGCATCGGGAGGTATAGGACTGTCAGTTCTTAATTTTTTATTTGCTTGTGGTGACATTTGTGAGCATACATTTTCAAAATTTGATGAACATCTTGTATTCCTATCTGTAGAAATATTACTAGGTCTGCCTTTTCTTTTTTGGAGTTATTATTTTACGGCAATTTTGTATTTCATTAGCTAACTGTAACCGAAAATGTAACAAATCTAAGATTTTATTTTTTTGGATGTTTAAATATTTTGCATCTTTTATATATTGAGTCCAACAATTAGCCACTACCAAATCAAAAGCATGTACTATGAGCCGTAATGTCCATTTTTTTGATTTTATAAATGTTCTATATGTACTTATAAGTTGATCGATTTTATCAACGCCACCCATTGATTTATTATATAAAGTTATAATTTCCGGTCTTTCTATTTCAACATATGATTTATTTTTTTTGTCCCAACGTTTTATAATTTCAACTTCACCAGATGTAATAAAATTAGATGCCATATTAACTGGTTTATTATCGTACCATTTTAATATGCCCAAAGAAAAGTTATTGTTTTTTTTAGATTTTATTTCGTACGATGTTCCACGTCCAATTTTTGCCGTTATTTTATCTGCCAAAAGAGGTGGATTAGCAAAACGATTTGTTCTTATAGTTCCAGCCGCATAATTCCTCTATGATATAGTCGTTCAAATAATGGATATGAAGAAAAAAAATTATCGAAGTATAAGAAATGTGAATTTTTTTTTACTCCTTGTGTTAATTGCAATACAATCGCACCACCAACACCAAATTGTTTTTGTAAATCAGAATTAATTTCAGTAGATGCACCTTGATACAATATAAAATCATAAACTGTACCACTTTGTCCAGCAAGTAGATATATTTTTATACCCCAAGGACAAGGCTTACCTTTCATATATTGTTTAACAGAAAGGGTACCCTTGAATGGCACCATTTGCTCATCGACGCTTAAGTTTTGTTCCTTTACTAAACTATTACACTTTTTTTTTATTGTATCATACAAAGGCCGAACTTTTATAAATTTATCTTTATTGTTACTTGAGATACTGTTATTATCAATTATATGTAAATTTGATCTCAGCTGAAAAAAACTATCCCGAGTCATAGTATTTGCTACAATATTAATTTTAAATATCTCTTCCCAGTACATCCTTACACGTGGAAATTTTAATGAACCCATTATTATGTGTATCGCTATAAGTGATTTTATTTCCATGCCATTTGTAGGCTGGAATTGTATTCCATTTTGAACCGTATATAACGTGGTATTAAATGCTATATTATCAAAAAAATCCTCTTGAAAATACTGATTAAAATAATCTATTGGTGAAGGCATAGATGTAGGATGAACTTCATTTTCTAATTCATCTAATTTTAATGTCAAACTTTGGAAAGGTTCATTTAACCATTTTATATTTTGCTTATTAGTAATTGGAAAGTTATTTTCCAGCGTATATTCATTAAAAGTAGTATTATTACTATCAGAGACGTTTGGCAAGTCACAAAAAACATCCTCATTTTCAAATTCATTTAATAAATCCTGAAATTCATCATCGGGAAAAAATTCATCCTCATTATCTATACTCCCAATATCAGAATTATAACCGTCCGATAATAATTCTAAAATATGACATTTTAATAACTTACGAGACACTTTTTTTTTTAATATAAACTTATTCATAAAATAAAATATAAAAAATTATACTAATTAGTTTACGTACGGTACCGCAGAGTATAGAAATGCGTTAGGATAACAGCACAATCCGTTTGATAAATGAAATAAATATCAGTGAAAACAAACGCAACATGACACACAGACCGGTGGGTCACAAATGCGATCCAAAATTCAAACAATCATATCATTTGATATAATAGAAATGTAAGAGTAAAAGCGATATTTTTAGATTACGTAGTTAATATTCTTCTAAGAATTAATTGTACAACTCGCTGATATTATTAATTTTGTATTTATAAATCAAAAATGAAAATAACACATGAACAATTATTTCCCATTATTTTTTCTTATAAATATACAGAAATACACTAAAATAAAGTCAATAAGATGATAATAATTAGATAAGTGAATTCTATGGAATTTTATACATCGTTATGCATACAGAGCGTTTGCTGTACACTAATAATTTATTTTTAATTGAAGAATGAAACATTGGGTCACAAAAGTGACCTTGGGGTCTGAAAGGGTTAAATATAATATGTTATTATGATATAATATTATTACCGAATTAATCTGTATCCACACAATTACTTTCATAAACAGTGTCCACAAATATAATATTTACCAAGTCATGTACAGATTTGTCATGTATTACGCTTCTTGTACTATTATAAGAATTAAGAATAGGTATATATATATATAATTTTATTTAATAAATACTTAATTATATATGTTAATTATGATCGGGCACCAATAAACAATCCTCGTAATATTTAATACTATATATTAATTAAAGTACTTAGTATATTATCTTACTTACCAATATTGCTTGTAAATTGTATTAATAGTTAAAATTGAACGTCAAAATACATAAAATTGATGAGTTACCGATGAATGACGACAAACAACAAAGTAGGTAAATTAAAACAACAAGAACAACGGACACGGATGGCGATCGCAAAATAGTGATCGAATAAAAGTGGATTCAGTGAATACTGAATACCGTAGACGAAATAAGCCAAATCTATAAAATTGTTGACGTGTGGGAACAACAAATAATATGGTTTCATTCCTAATATTTCTATTATTAACTATATTGTACTGTTTTCATTATCGGTATTATTTATAAACGGCCTGGGCTACGATAAGAAAACTGGGTTTACCATACAGACCTACAGACGTCTGCTGTGCGCCGTGCGGTGTAATCGCGATATTACCCGCGTAGTTATAGTTAACTCATTAAATGTCGCCGCTATTACATTATGCCGGGCTTACACGATGCGTAGTACTTGTCATTAGTACTTGTCGCTCGCACTTTTATCACACGTGTGAACAGAAGTGAATAGTGCTTAGTATTAGTAAAACCGAGAGTGCGAGTGAATAGAGACCCGTTCTATTTACTAACGACAAATAGCTACCCCCTCCACAACTCTACTCTACTTGCGGTTGCACTCGCAACATGTGACCGCTTGACAGTGTTGCCAGGTGTACGATAATTATCGTATTTGTACGATTATTATTGCCATTGTACGATGTACGATACTTAATCAACTATCGTACAAGAAAATACGATAATTTAGTGTTTTTAAAGGTGTTTATGAAAATATAAAGAAACCCTAT